ATGTTATAATTATCATAAATTAAATAGTTAACCTTTCTTGTATAAGTCATAACTTTACATTTCGAAACATCCAGACTGAGACAGTTTCGTGAACACCATGACGAAATTAGAGCTAAGTCATCTTGCAATATGACGCAATCCTCGACTGACTTGACTGACGTGCAGATTTTAAGGTCATCAGCGAAAAACAAATGGAAACACTTCAGTTCAAAAATAAATATCAAAAACAATAATGGACCTAGATTTGACCCTTGAGGTACCCCGGACGTGGCCCGATAGTAACTCGACCTATGACCACCATATTCGACAAATAACCTTCTATCCCTCAAATATGAATTCATGAGCGACAGCATTGCATCAGACATACCCACTTGTTTAAGCTTATCCAGAAGTGCATAATGATCAACTTGATCAAACGACTTCTGAATATCTGTGTAGATGACATCAACTTGTCCCTGACCGTCCAGTACTTCAGAAATGTACTGAGTGATTAGAGCCAAGTTGGTGACCGTAGATCTGCCTCTCATAAACCCATGCTGATTAATAGAGACTGCACCCCTGACCGAGCAGTAAACCGTTTTATAAGCGATGATCTCAAACAACTTGCTGAAATTGCACAGGATTGCTATTTGGCGATAGTAGGAAATATCAGAGATATCTCCACTTTTGTGAATAGGACATATTTTAGAGGTCTTCCCAGATATTTGGATATGTCTCTGATTTTAGAATTAGGTTGAATATGGAAGCCAGCGGTTGCGCTAGTATATGAATGCAATCTTTAATGAAAAAAATTGGAATACCATCACATCCAGACGTCATTTTGTTCTTTAATCTTTTCGAAGCCCTAATTACGTTTTCTTCACTTATATTTTTTAAAGAAATGATCTAATAGATGGCCAAGGATTCTTAGCCACTGGTGAGGTCCAACAATTTTCTGCCATTGTGTTATGTCGACAAAGGTGACCATCAGTTAACTGGAAATGCCCACTACCAGATCTAGCTTTCCTTGTAATACTCCAAAAAACATCAAGTGTAAAGCTAAAGCTTTCTAGTAAATAAAACTTAGTGGCATACTACCTCGTGAGCCAGACACTGAGATGGTTCTGTTTTCCACGAGTATCACAGTACCTTACCTGTTGCTTGGTGGTCCTGCAGCAAAATCCCGCCACTGCGCTGCTCTGCAGTAGTCCACGAATACCGCCTGTTGGCCGCCATATCCTTTCTTTGTTTTTGTCCGTTTTTGGTCCTGCATTAGCAGCTCGACGAATTTGATACGGTTGTGTCGGAACAAGTCGACTCCCTCTTCAGTTGAAAAATGCTTGAGCTCGGGCTGCTGTTCTGAATAGACACGTTTCACGAGACATTTGTTTTCGCTGCACACGTAAAGTACGGCTACTTTGAGCGTCGTTAATTGTGCTTTTTGGGCGGTTAGCTATCTGGCTACAAATAATTTGTGGAGTAATTAGAGGGAGGAAAATGTCAAGCAGAGGCCTTGTGAGTGTGAAGAGCCAAAAGACTTTTCGGCATACGAGTTGCAAAGACTTTTCGATTCTACTTGTTAACGAAGCATTACTGATGAGTCGCACTGCTTCCGTTTTATCAACTATGAAGAGAATGCTCACGGCAGCAGCTCCCAAATCATACGAGTAGTCGGGATTTTTTTTCTGGGCTTTGTACGAATATGTGGAAATATACGAGCCCCTTCCCACTTCAGTTGGCCCAACTATTGAAATATTAGTTTTTTTGTTATCAAACACAAATAATAAAAATGTAGCAGGGTGTTATAGCTTTAAAATATTAACAATGAATATTTTGATAATATAGTAGAAAACACCAACTTTATCACTCCCTAATCAAATTTGCAGCATAAAAATAACACATGTTGCAATTACAGCATATCAACCTATTTTCATTTCAATGCAAAATAAGTCTATAACGCATAGATGGCTGTGAAAAATAAAAGCCATGACAATTGTTTTTATTAATCACAGCTGTCAGAATACGTTTAAAATAGTTTTGGGTAGTTAAGGTTTTCAAAATGGGTAGAGGAAAGTTATTAGTGAGAAAATTCGGTTACTGATAATTAATTTTTTTAATTCTAGGAAATCAAAGTCAGAAATTGCAACTTTGTTAGACTTATAGCGGTACAGTATGAGAATTATTGTTAGAAGATATAACGTAACTGGTTCAGTTAATATTAAGCCACGATATGTGAAAAAAAAGTAATATCACAAATGCCGACCGAAGAACATTAAGAAGAATAATCGTGAAAAACAGGCGTGCCAATTATTTACAATTAAGTGCTCTGTGGAGTGACGCTGTTGGAAGGAGAATTTCGAGGTCCACAACTCATAGAGAGGCCCACAATCTGGGATTCAGCACTTGCAAGGTAAATTTTCTTATAAAAAAAAGTGAAGTAAAAACTCTAAAGTTGCACAACTTGTTTATAGGCCAAAGAAAAGCCACTATTAACTCCACTGCAAAAGGAAAATCGGCTTAGATGGGCTAAAGAATATAGACAATGGACACCTTAACAATGGTGTGCAATACAATGGAGAAATGAGGCCCGATTCGAAGTTTGTGTTGGTGACATTCGCAGTAGAGTTATTCGCAAAAAAATGAAGCATTCCATGTTGACTGTCTGAAGATAAAAGTGAAATTTCCAACATTCATTATGGTCTGGGGCAGTATGTTATCAAAAGGAGTAGGAAAACCATTTTATTGATGGAAGTGTGGATACAAACAAATATTTAGCAATTTTAGAAGAATAGCTTTTACCAGTGATTGAAGAATGTTTGACATCCGGCCAAGATTTTGTGTTTCAGCAAGATGGTGCAGCGTGCCATACCTCAGAAGAGGCTATAAAATGGATGGAAGAAAATAATGTACCACTTTTGAAATGGGTTTCTAGCAGTCCAGATCTGTCACCTATTGAAACTTTGTGGCACGAGATGAAAAAGGTTCTACGACAACATCCTGCTCGTACAATCACCGAACTGAAACAAAAGCTTCAAGAAATAATAATAATAATAATAAATGTCTTTATTAATCAGCATACATCAGTGAGGCGAAGTTTAGCCAAATGGCTACTCTTACACTTAACCTCACTGTGTACGAAAGAGTAACACAGTTAAACTCGATACACAAACAAACAATAGTAATAATAAGAAAAAGAAACAAATGCACACTTGAACTATTAATATAATAATAATAATAATAAAGTGTCATAAAAATAAAACAAACCAACAACTCAAACACTGAGAGACGATTGCATCTCCAATAGCTGTTTTCCAACTGATTTCTTTAAAGAGAGTAAACTTTCTTGTTTGTTAGCCGAACTGACTGAATTGTAAAGCTCAACAGCATTATACGTGAAAGATCTCTGATATAATGAGGTGTAGTGAAGAGGAATATTGAACTGTTCATCATGACGTCAATCATCATCATCAAATATGGGATTGTTTTACACCAAATTTTTGCCAAAACTTGGTTAACACTATGCCCCAAAGAATTTCAGCCGTAATAAAAAATAAAGGTGATGTTACCCAATGGTAATCTGTAAATTGTTGCTTTGTTAACTTCGCGCATTTATTCGCAAATTGTTTATTTGTTCAGATGTTCTATTAGTTATAGGTCTAAGTGATTTCAAATATGTATTTTTTACGACTAGAGTGTATCTAAAATGTTTTTGAGAAAATAAATTGTTTTAGAAGTAAACAGTTTCGTCATGTTTAGTTTATAAACGCATATTTTGGTACAAATGAAGTGAGCCAACTGAAGTGGGAAGGGGCTCATACCTTATTAGCTCACCAGATTTTTTCCGGTAGAATGAGATTCAAGGCATTTCAAGGGAAATGCTAGACAAGCGATATGCAGTTTTGCTTCCACTAAGCGGCCCTTGTATGGTTGGGTCTCAAAGCTGTAAACGTAAGTGTGAAAAAGATGATTTGATAGAAAGGTAATAGGAAAAAGACAGGTTTGAAAGCTGATGCGAAACAGACAGATAGAACCGAAATAGGAAGGTGTGACCTATGCACCCATGTTTCGACGTTTATTGGCTAGCAATTGACATATTTGCCTGTTCATAACTTTCTTCTTCATCATCTATTTTTCTATGGATTTGTGTCTCTTCAGACAGATGTCTGTTTAGATACCCAAGCTTCATCAATTGTCACAATGGAAGGTTTTTAAGCTTGTGGCATCAAGATCGCATGCCTACCTGTTTGGAGCAGTATTTCAAATCGTTTTCGTCTGATTATTTCATGGTACATATATGGGTATGACTAAAAAACGTTATAATTTTTTCTGTCAAAAGTATGCACTTTTTGTGCGTTTTTCGTCAGTCGTAACTTGTTAACAAGTATCAGTAAAGCTCTGAAGTTGTATGTGAATATTCCTGTCCCAATCCTCATAGGTTGTCTTTTATGGTGCCTAGAAAGCTCCAGCTGGGAATGAGGTTGTTGTATTCATAACTTTAGATATAACGGATATACTGCTAGCCTAATTGGCCATCAGATTACACCCATTGCAGGAGATTGTAATTAATTAAGGGCAAGGCAATCTGAGTATCTGTACGTACGCAGGCTGCACATTTTTGCCGCCATTGCGTTTACTATTTCTGTTCTTGCGATTTGATCTGAGGAACTATAAGGAAGTCTGAGGAAATTCAAGGATTTCTAAGGTTACCCAAAGAAATCGAATAGAAGAGATCTTCTGTTCAAAAAAGGTACATTATTGGGTGATTCTGTTTTTTTGCGTTTTTGTGGCTACCTTAAATGATGGTGTTTCATGTTTGTTGGTATCCATCAGTAGGGCTTTGGAGACAAACAACAGAAAACAAACTACCGGATATGCTCTACTGAAAAACTCAGTATGTGTAACCTTGATACGTAGCCAAACTCGCAAGAAAGGACAACCCACCAATCCCCATCCTATTGATATTTGTTATATCTACAAGAATCAACAAAACTTCAATTGCATATTATTTCGTGTAAAAGTACCTGGTCAGTCAGCCTAACGAGTGCGATCCATTCACTTTCCACAACTACTGTACAATACACATTCGCTGTAACAGTTGTATCTCTGGCCTGGTTAATATTAAAACGTAAAACGTGAACGGACATAAGCAGTATGGCATTTTTGATGTTGGTAAATTGCACAAGCGCCCTAATTTATAGTCATTTTTAAACCCGTAAATCAAAGGTAAACTGGCTTGTAATATGTATGATGAACGTTGTACGTTATACTGTTCCAGTTAATGAATACTATTGCAGGGGAATTTATTATTCCAATGTTGTAGCAGCGAAATGCTACCGTCGCCATAATGGATACAGGGGAGGATTTGTCATTTAAAAAAGTGTCATTTGAAAAGCTTGTGTCATAAATATATATATTGCGCATATACCTTAGGGTCGTATCGTCAGTCTTCCCTACATTTGTAGGACACCTTCATGGTCTCTTTGATTTTCATAGGTTTCTGCTGCTTCAGAGTCAGCGTTCTATTTTGAGGTTATGTTACAAATATCTATTTGCATCAAATTGCTTATACTTTTGATTTATATCATCTGAACCTGAAATTCCGTACAGTTCAAGCAGAAAACATAGCCTCACAATAAAAGAGAGCTGACGCTGACACAGAACACTACAAATCTAGAAATTCCCCAGCCTTTCCGAAGGAGAGATATTATCAGGACTGCCCTGTGCATCTTCGATAATAAAGGAATAACTTTTCCCGCTACTATAAAATCATAGTAATTGACAAAAGGTCAAGATATACCAGACGAAACAAGAGTTCCAAAGGCGAAATTTTCCATACAAAAATATTGGACATCGATTTGAAGACCAGGTAAAATTGGAAATCCACCAGTTGGCCGTTATATCACGTTTCTCAAGTTGTCCATAATTTTGAGCTTAGTAGGAAATTTTTTGAAGATTTATTTCGTTCAAAGTTCTTGAAATGGGAAAATAAAATAACTGAGGGAAACGCGCTTATAATACGAGGGATGACTTTTAAGTTTTGCATATAGAAACATAGTAGGCCGCGCGGATCGAACGACAGTACTGAATCTTAACCTCACTCTTTAGTAAGCTTAAATTAAAGGTTTCACAACAATACGTGCAGTGTTCTCACTACAGTGAATTTTTAAGTGTCACCAAGTCGTTAGAAAAATGGAACTCAACCGAGAACATTTTTGCGCCATAATTTATTACAAATTTCAGAGACAATTATCACAACAGGAATGCTTTTCTGAGTTACTTCCCGTTTGTATGAAGAATTTAAACGTGGCCAGGTGAGTCTTAGCGACGATCCCAGGGCGGGTGCGCCAAAAACGGCAGTCACCCAGGAAAACGTCGATGCTGTGCGCAAATTCATCATTGAAGATAGACATGTGACATATCGCGAGATTGAGGCGTCCTTGAAGATCTCAAAGACCTCAATTCAAAAAAATTTACATGAAGAATCATTAGTAAGAAAATTAGTTTCTCGTTGGATACCCTACCTGTTGACTGAAGAGCAGAAAGCAGCCAGGGTTAATTGGTGTGAAAAAACGCTTGACCGTTTCAATTCCGAAAACTCAAAAAATGTGTACAGCATCGTTAGTAGTGATAAATCGTGGATTTACTGTTATGAACCAGAAAATAAACGACAGTCGGCTGTTTGGGCGTTCCAAGGTGAAGAAAAGCCAACAAAAGTCATCCGTTCTCGAAGTGTTTCGAAAAAGATGGTCTCGACATTTGTGTCAAAAGCGGGTCTTATTGCAACAATTCCTCTTATTAAGCAAAGAACTGTTACTGCGGTTTTTTAAACCACCATTTGTTTGGCAAAAGTCATCACCGAGCTTCGAAAAATCAACCCCGAAAGAAGAATCATCCTCCACCTAAACAATGCAAGCTGGCACACAGCCCAACCATCAGAAGAAGCAGTTGACGCATTCAAAAATGCCGTTTTGGATCTGCCAGCAAACGAGAGGAATAAGTGCTTCTAAAATTGGTTCGAGCGCATGCAGATGTGCATTAATCTTCGTGGAGAATACTTCGAAAAACAATAAGGTCATTTAAAACTACCAACCGTGTTGTTTTAATTCCATATGCAAAACTTAAAAGACATCCCTCGTATAGGCGCTCCCTGAATTATTCTCGGGAGAAAAAGAGTCGATATTTGGCCATCGTTTATCAGTCTCATATCTCAAGATGGAGTGAACTTTGTGTTGGAACGCTTAGTAACATGAAGAACCCAGCAAACTATTGTTTTGCCTAAATTTAATGATAATAACAATAATCATTTTTTCATGATAAGTTTTATTTTTAAAGTAATACACCATGGAACTATAGACAAAAATCTGTTTTATGTCCATCATTCCGGTCTCATGATATAATTCGTCAGACGGATGAGTTTTCCTTTTGCTAAAAATAATCTTTAATATATATTTTTGGGCAATTTATTAGTTTCTTAAACATGACAATGCCGCTTCTCTTCGTAACAAAGATGTCACCGCACAGGTGCGTAGTATATGACTCTCATACAACCAAAGTTAAGCACGTTTGTGAGATACTTGAACTTTGCATTCACATAATGTTCCTGTCAGAATTAGATATCATTCCCCAGGGAAGAAAACCACGCCCACCTTCTCTCAGTGATTCTACTTCCTCGTTTTCAGGAATACGGGTTTTGGACTTTACCATGCAGAGGTATCAAATTAACAGTTAATACGTCAATTTGGATTTAAAGCTTTTGGTCATGTCATCGGGTCCATCTGAATATTTGATACTTTCAACAGAACTGCCACTACATGGCTCCACTAAGCAAATTTGCTGGTGTTGAGCTTGATACGCCTAGACGGACATTAAGAGTTGACAATACCACTTGTTTGATCGAGATTTTGGAACGTTCCTACTGATCTCTTCTTCAGCCCACAATGTCAACGCGGGTATTCCCCAGGGATCGGTCTTCCGATATGCCAATGGACTCCTCAGAACTGTCGTCCATGATGCTGCTGTGCGATGAGCCTGCCAGTCAGACCGCCTGACTCTGGGATACAGAAACACATATAAAAATAACGTGTTACTCGTACAAAAATTAATTTGTATTATAAAATGCGTTATTTAGTAAGGGGTTCCGAAGTTTACTTTTGAACAAAGATAAGCTGATAATCTGTTTAACATCTAAAGGCAATTTATTATACATAGCACTACATAAATACATTGGACTCTTTTTATAAGCACTAAGGTTAAAATTTTGAATATGAATATAGACATTATATCTAGTATTGTAGGCGTGTATTTCACTGCACTGGGGGAATAAATCTGTGTGTTTTTTAAAAAATAAGCATGACTCGTAGATCAATAATGACGGTAACGTTATAATTTCATTATCTTTAAATACAGGTCTACAGCTGTCCAGTGGGTTGAGACCTAATACTAATCTAATCAGCCTCTTTTGCAGAATGAATATTCTCTGTATGCCACAAGAAATGCGCCAGTGGTAGAAAAAGGCTTATTTCGGTGAATGACTTTGTAATCGATTTTTGACGTAACTTTGTTTCATTGTATTTCATTGTACTCGTATCTTGACGTTTCATATCCGCGAGGCATGAATAAAAGTTATTATTATTATTATTACATTATTATTATTTCTAACCTTCTCATAGCAGCCGCGGTGCCCTGGTATTGAGGCTTCTGGCTACGCGACTGCTTATGTATAAAAAACATGCTCTTCTTAGTTCCTCGGTATTCGGATACTTTACTTCTGCCTTCGTGTCTGGTATGCACAGTATATGTATTGACATCGTCATTACATCCAAGCGCGTTTCGTAAAACATCTCAACACAGATGTTAAAAATGTAACATGCTGACATTACCATAACAATAATCTTTTTCGTCAACATGTCTCGAGTATGCACCGGCACAGCTCGCTCATTCTCTCCCTGACATCGACAACATCCCCCGCAGCTACAAACACTAAATATTAACAGCCCCATAATCAGAAGTTGGAGGCGCGATGTTAACCTTCCCCTTCGCTAACCCCTTCCCCTCCGGCAGCTGCTGCTGCGATCGTCATCGCTACCACCTTCCCGGAAACTTGGTGAGGTTCAAGGGCGGTTCATTGTAGGGGCTGGAAGATTCGATGGCTTAGTTCTCATACGACATATCCCACAAAATCCCAAGGATATCGTACTCCGTATTGACGAGCCAGTCTCCTTGATGACATTCCAACCTCACCAATCTCTCTTACCTCTTGCAGTAAATTCACGTGGTCTTCCAGTTTTTAGGAGATTCAGACATGGTATTCTCTGCTCGCACTCCACTATTGTTCGATAAATGGTTCTTTTTCAGCTTTCGGTACCTGCCCATCTACCTTGTAAATACTTTTTCTTAATTCTAATTTATATGACATCTTAAAGCGAAAACAAAATGAATGAATGTCAACCGACAGCAAAGTAAGTAAACAAACTTTTGTTTCGAAAGGCAACTTCATATCGCGTTGTGTTTGTTGATATTAAAGCCAATGAGCCAAAACGTATAAGACATACGTTCCCTTAGAAACTCTAAGGTGTTGCTCGATAGTAAATAGTCTCAAGGATCCCTTAACACCACAATGAATCCCCACCTCTGGCAAGTGTTCATCCCCTTGTATTTCTCTAATTTAAGTTCGCTGGAACAGCAAACGAGGCAGGAGGCAGCGGACGTCTATTCAGATCAGCCGTCGCTCCAACGGTGACGTGATGGACACAGATTATGCCGGATTACTGGTTAACTTTCATAACTGGAGTTAAACGTGCTTTACGTGAGCTAGTCGAAAGGCAGCGCCAGGCAGCGAATGGTGGGGATGTGGTGAGTGTCATACCGAGGGACAGCTCCAAATAATTTAATACTGGGCTTTAAAGCTATGTGGGTTTTAAACCGGTCGTTCCAAAAGAGCGATGCCGCATCAAGAATTGGTAAACCCAAGAAAAAGTTACATACAGGGTGTTAAAAAGTATGAAAAAAAGTTTCTGTAAACATGGGTCCTGAAATGCAGAATTTTCACATGCTGATAAAATTATTAATTTGTTGTAGTGTACTTTATGTCATGGTACCTATTGTAAAAGTTGCAATAACGCTCTTTCTTAGGCATGTTTCTGATTTTTT